AAAGGGTAATGTAAGGCTAGAAGAGTTGGCAGGGCCCCCTTGAACTTTATTACTGTACCATCCTTCTCCCTGATCTCCCTGCCTCCAGTCTTGCCCCTCCAATCTGCTCACTGCCAGATCTTTCCCGGATGTACATCCATCCATTCATGGAGGTCTAACTCTCCATCCATCTATTTCTTTTTCCACAGATGACTTATAGTGACATATCAATTTATACAGTATAAAAGTATCTTAAAGAACTATCTCAGAACCTTTTTGGAGCAATGCAGAATATAAATAAGCATTTTAAAAGAAACAATTTGAGAGAGTTAGATGGAAAATATGGACAGGAAAGGAAATAGTACAAGAGTAATTCTGTCACTCAAACATGCACATCATGCACTGCTGCTATTATAATAAAGATGTTTTGACAAAATGCAATTCTGACCTCCTAGCGGCCAAAGCCATGCAATCAATTATGAGTCACCATGTTGTTCAGAAAAAAAAAAAAAAAAAAATCTTTTTCTTTTCTGACCTAATTGTCCTGGCTATAACCTTTAATACAATGATGAATAGAAGTGGTGAGAGCAGACTTCCTTGTGTTGTGCCTGTTCTTAAGGGGAAAGCATTCAGTCTTTCACCATTAATTATGATATTAGCTGAGGGTTTTCCATAGATGCTCTTTATCTGGTTGAGGAAGTTACTTTGTATTCCTAGTTTGAGTGTTTTGTAATCATGAGAGTGGACTTTTCCTGTGTCTATTGAGATGATCATATTGTTTTGTTCCTTTATTGATATATTACATTAATTGATTTCCAGATGTTAAACCAACCTTTCATTCCTAGGATAAATCTCACTTGGTCATAGTATATAATCCCCTTTTCTTGTGGAATTCAGTTTGCTAATATTTTTTGAGAATGTTTGCATTTATATTCATAAGTGATACTGCTTTGTATTTTTCCTTTCTTATAATGTCTTTCCCTAGTTTGGATTTCAGGTTAATACTAACCTCAGATAACAAGCCTCTTTTAATTTTTGGAAGAATTCTTTTTTAAATGTTTGGTAGAATTCACCAGTGAAACCATCTGGTCCTTAGCTTTTCTTTGTGGGAAGTTTAAAAATTGCTAATTCAGCTTTTTTGCTTGTTATAGGTCATATATATTGTATACACATACGTGTGTATATATACACGTATATTCACAAATACACACGTATATACATGATGGGTCTCACTGTGTTGCCCAGGCTGTAGTGCAATGGCTGTTCACAGGCATTATCCCACTACTGATCAGGATGTGAGTTTTGACCTGCTCCATTTCCTACCTAGGCAAGTTCATCTCTCCTTAGGCAACTTGGTGGTCTCCCACTCCTGGGAGGTCACCATATTGATGCCAAACATAGTGTGGACACTCGAGGAGCATAATGCACTACAGTCCAGAGCTTCCGAGCTCAAGCAATCCTCCCACTTCAGCCTCCTGAGTAGCTAGGACTACAGGCATGTGCTACCCCACCTGCTGAGTCATTTTAATAAATAACTACATCCCTACATGACATACAGATTTCTTATAAAGCCATTAGGATAGGCTGAAATCCTCCATGGTTTGCCATCAGAGTGAGGATAAAGAAAATACAAAATAAAACACACCCTCAGCTTGGCATATAGTGGTCTTACTGATCTGGGTCCTGCTTACCACTGCAGTTGCCTGTCTCTCCACATTTTACTTAACTGTACCAATCTTTAGTTCCCCCAAAATGAACCTTGATGTTTCTTACCTCTGCACCTTTGCTCATGCTGTTCCTTGTCTGAAACAAACATTCTTTCTCATCACTTGCAGTCTACACCTCTCCCCATTGCTCTATAGGGATGGCTCTCCTGGCTCTTTAAGACTTAGCTCAGGCTAAGGCATTCCTCCAAGGGAGCTTCTTGGCTAAGTTGGGGCTTCCTCTGGGATCACCCAAAACCACTGTATTCCCTCTGTTAAAGCATTTATTAACTGTCTATTTTTATGTCTGCCTCCTTCCATCCCAGTCTTGGTCTTACCCTTGCCCTTAACAGGGCCCAGCAGAGACCAGCACAGAGATGATGCTCTGAATGTTCATGGAATGAATGAATGAATGAATGAATGAATGAATGAATGAATGACAAATGAATGTGTTTTCTTCCTGGGCACAGGTGAGTGAACTGCCTTCCTCCATCATCCATAAGGATGATTTAGAGTTGAAGGAGAAAGACCAAAAGAAACCACCAACGGCACCCAGAGAGGTGAAAGTGACTCGGAGGAAGCTCACAGCTGCCTCCCTTCCCAGCAAGTACCACGGCTATGAAGAACTGCTGACAGCCAAGCCTGATCCAGCCTTCATTGAGCCAAAGGGTATGTGAGGACATATCCTTGCTCCAGGGCAAGAGGCCATCTCCACAGCCCAGAGCAAGTCAGGGTCAAGCCAAGGCTGGCACCAAGCTGTCTTTTCCCAACTAGGGTGCTGTCCTCTGTCTAAATACCTGTCAAAGGGCTCCTTTTAGGGTGTCCTTTGTTTGAAGCCCCACATATTGGGACCCCTGTCCTGGCTTGGGCCTTCACTGGCTTACAGGGAACCACAGTTTATTCAGAGACTGTAGTCGGTCTCAGCCTAGCTGTTCTGGATGATGAAGTCTCTCCTCAGGAAAAGTTTGATGAATGAACACCCAGACTGGCCAGATTCTTGAGCTTTTCCCAGCCCAGGTTAAGTTCCCAAACTGAACATCTGAAATCCTTCCTATCTGGTTGGAGGCAAAGGAGGCAGCGTCATCTCTGTGTTAATGTGTACTTCCAAAGCAACTGGCATTCAGCTGGACTGTTCTGGATATCAGCCCCTGCGATATAACCTCCTGAGGTTAACGGGGTCGCACTGGAGCCAGCCTTTTCCCCCACTCCAATACGATCGTCCCATTACAATCTGTGCTATTTTTCCGTTATAATATGGGACAAATACTCACTGAAGAATGATGGACGTTCAGACACTGGAACAGACCTGGAAGAAACCTGGGAGCAGTGTTTTCTTTTGGGGACTCTCAAATCCTTTTACCTAGAGCTGCTGTGAGACTGAGGAATGAAGCAATCAGGGGAGGCATCTGGGAGGACGGGCAGTGCCTTGACTCAGTCGCCTTCTTGCCCTAGGAATCCAGAAGAATGCACAGGCCCTGCAACACATGCTGAAGCACCCACTCCTGTGCCACTCCTCCAAGCCCAAGCTGGACACTCTTCAGAAACCCTATGTTCCCAAAGAGAAACGGGTAAACATCCAGCTCATTGAGTGTGTAAATGGCCCCTGAGTAACCCCCTCAGGTACAGATGTGACTGTCACCTTGGGACCCTCTGAGGGCCATGCTTTCCCAGCACCCCCAGATGCTCCTCAGCCTGTTGCTGTGACTATATGAGGTTAGGCCAGGAAAGTCTGTGCATAAACCTGGGATAACACCCTCCTCCATGACCTTCTGCCAGGCCCAGAGGATCCCGATTCCACCCCCAAGGAAGACTAGAACCCAACTGCTGGATGACATCTTCATTCGCTTGCGGGATCCCCGGAACATTACAGAGGCTCCACTAGGTATGACTTTGCCACAGCTGCCAGGATCCCAGATCCAGTTCACTCCTGCTGACTAAAGGCAAAGAAAGGGCTTGTGTCAGTGCAGGAAAGGCCCCTAGAGAGCAACTACCTACATCAGTCTCTGTATGTAGATGGAGAAAAGGAGAGCCAGCGTGAGGCCTGGAGTTGCCTAAAATCACATAGCATGTTAAGGTCCTGAACCAGAGCTTAAGATAGAGTCAAGAGGGCATACCACTGACTTCCTACTGCCCCAAGCCGGAAAGGCCATTTTCAGCCCCTTAGCATCCTCCTGTCATGCCATCCCACTTTCCAAGGGTCTCTGGACCCAATCCTCTTGCTTCCAGCTGGGTGGGAACCAGGGTGAGCTTGGTGCCTCTCCTGGCTTCTTTTCCTGCAGGTGCTGTCCTGCACCGGCGGACAGAACGGCGGCTGGTGAACCACAAGCAGTACCTGGAGGCCAAGAGGCTGTTGAAGGAGTTTCAAGCACGTTACCGGCAGCTGGTGAGTGGCTCTCTGCGGACAGTGTTCGGGACCACCCCGCTTCCCCCAGCCTGCCCAGCGCTGAGTGAGAGTCAGCCCAAGTTCGGCCGCTTCCTCGAGTTCATGGATGAGTTCTGCCAGGAGCCCACAGCCAGTGACTCACAAGGCTAGGGCTGTGCATGGGGGCTGTGCGCACCATCCAGCCTGTGCCTCAGCTCTCCCTGAGGGCTCTGTGCCCTGGACTGCACCTCGAGGTTGACCAGCCGGCCACAGGCCTCAGAGCTCAGCTAGGCCCCACTCGCTGGCCACAAGGTGGCCTTCCCTTGTTAGGATCTCCCCTCCTTGGGCCAGGCATGACGGGGTGCCTGGCCCAGCGGCAATAAAGAGTGGGTGCACAGGGCAATAGACTGGGTGCCACATGCATTCTTTCTTGGAACCCAGGCCACAGCAGCACTGTCACACTTCCCTCTAAAAATGGTTTTCCAGTTCAGATGCAACAGGGATACATTTGTTCTCTGTTGTATAAGAAACTGACACCAGGGGGATCTTAACAAATTCCTGAACAATGGCTCCAAAAAGGGTATTTTTAGAAACCAGATCTTTTGAGTACAACCCTAATGTGCAGGGACAGTGTCATCCTGTATATTCATTCTTTACTCACACTCTTTCTTGGTTCCTTCATTAGGAGCATGAATGGTTGAATGTGAACATGACAGTAAATTGGAGCAAACTGTAAACTGGAGATAACTTATGCCAAAAGACATAGTTGTATACCATGGAAACCCCATCCCTGCTCCTAATCTTTACCGCCGTTCTGAATACCAAAGCAAGACATTCAACATGGGGCATTTCCCAGAGCACATACAGCACCAACAATCCACACACAGCTTAAGCTTAACCCATGTTTTTGTCTGAGATTGTTCTCCAGAGACAAGACTCTGACTAGAAACAGAACATCCACTTTCATGAGTTTTCTTTACTGTATTCTCAACTTGGGCCTCACCTCAAGCAGGCAAACATACATTGAAGAATGCGCTTTGGTACTGTTTAAATAACAACACATCAGCCCACTTGATTCCATGCCATGTCCTTGCTGACAGAAGCATCCCCAACAGGGCATGCCCTGGTCCAAGTCCTCTGTCTTTGTCAAAATGTTCTTCTGATGAGTTGGAGAGGAGGCAGCCAGCAGTGGCAGTCCACAAGGATCCAGGTACCTTCTCCAATCCTAAAGCAGACAGCAGGTTGAATAAAACCAACACACAACCTATTTTCTAGGCAGGAGGGGAAAAGGCCCTTAGGACAACAGTATTTGTACAAAGAGTTGAGAGTAAACAGTATATCAGGCTCAAAAACAACAACAACAACAACAACTACTATTTGTTGGCATTTAAATTTTTTTCCCTTGCATAGTATCTATTCTCTCACTAGGACTTTTAAGTGCTCTGCTGGAGGCTCAGCGTTGGTAATACCATGTTTGATGCAAACTTGAACCCAATGAGGAAGAACCCCTGCTCTCATTGGTGGCACAGCTTTGGAGGGTGGTGGCCCCACCAAGGGGCAATCTGCCTGCTGCTATATTAATCTGGAACCAGGGCCAACAGCTACTCTTGAACTATGGTATTTGAAGAGTGAGTTCATTGCCTGTTTTACCTTATATTAAATGACAGGAAAGGAAGATAAACCGTGCTTTGCCTTGGCTTCAAACTAGTTCTTAAGACACCAGAAAGGGAGAGAGGGAGTCTGCTCAGAGTTTGAGGTTGCCTCTCACAAGATGATGGCTAAAAGTTGCCACCTTACTCAGAAGGCATTACGGAGGCATTTACTCACAAAGGAGAGAGTAAATTTTTTTCTTAGGAGGAAAAAAATACTGATAATACATAGAATTATCTGCACATCCAGTCTTGGCACTTTTCCTTCATGTAATTTGACTAATCTCTAAACTGGTGACGCTTGCATATATCTTAGTCTCTTTTCTATGATCTTCTTCCGAAAGCTACAGCGGATAAGTCATGTATAAAGATGCATTTCCTAGATCATCTTCAGAAGAAAATCTCTTCAACACTTTCCCTAGAATCTGCCCCACGACCACCCTGCCCCAGACTTGCTTTCTCTTTGAGAATTCATAACCAGCTATGTTTAGATACCAGTTCAAAAGACCACTCTATGGGTTGATGAGGAAAAGGGTGGCTGAGAACAATTTAAGACCAGAGTGAGTTTCCAGTTTTTAAAGAAAATTTGGCTAGCTGGCTTTTAATTCTTAATTAAAATCATTAAATTAAAATTATTCCGATCAAAATACATCACTCTCCAAGATTCCACATTCATATTACTTACTTATACTATGGAGACTTTCTCTACCTGAGCATGTATTCAGGGTCTATAGGTATATTTAACTGAAAAAATCAGGAAGAAAAAGCTAGTAAAATAGCCTCCTAAATCATTTGGGGGTATCCCCGTCATTGGTGTGTTATGTCTGTGTGTGTCAAACTTTAACGATTATTCAGACACTAGAAAACTACACTATAAAATAGGGCACTGGATCGCAAGTTCCTTGTTTGGTTAAAAAAAAAAAGGGGGGGGGGGGGTGGGGGGCAGAGAAGAAATTTAACCTGGATGATTTCCATGCCCATTCCAGCTATAACATTCTATGACCGTGACCCAGCCTTTGATTCTTCTCTTTTCCCATTCTCCTACCAGACATTTCAATGAAAAGTTAGGCAGGAAAAAGGAAAGGAATCCCAAGTTGCTGCCAGCTCTGAGGAGAGACCAGGTTGGGGGAGAGATTAGGAGGTTACTAAATTGAGGTGTAGGCCTCCCCTGACCATGTCAGTGATCCACAACCCACCTCATTTCTTGGAGCTTAAGCTAAAAGCAGCATCTGAAGAGATGTTAATGTCCTGTAATTACTAGAAGAGAAAATTCATTCTCCTTCCATAACATGACTTAGTAAAAGAAAAGCAATGGTGCAAATTCACAAATACCGATGGGGTCTCTAAAATGTAGAATGCAGCCTGCTGGGTGCTGGGCAGTATCCAAATGGGACCAGAAATGGCTTTCCTAAGACTATAAATAAACTCCCCAGCCACACATACATTCAAATGCATTCCATTAGACATCGAGCTCCTCAAGAGCAGGAACTGCCTTATCTCCACAGTCCAGCTCAGGGCTGGCACAAGTTTGAAGCTCAGTAAATGTTTGTCAAATAGAAAAGAAAGGATGAATAGCCTTCGGTCATCAGCTGCATGAGTCAGGCATGGTGGCAGCTTCCCATTTTAGTCAGTTTGCCAGTTTGTAACCAGACAGTAATCAATTAAGAGCTTTAATCTCTTAAGGACATTTTTCCTTTAGGGAAAATGAACAAAAAATAAAACACTTATTACCAGTGCTTCTTTCAAGCAAAAAATTAAAAATTAAATTAAAATTTAAAAAATAAGTGAAGCCACTTAGGAGTTTTCCCGGCAAGCCTCACCCAACAAGACTTCACCTTTTTAAAACAGAGGCAATTATATGAAAGGGGCCAGGAGCTGGATACATAGTCCCCTGATTTGCTACCAACCCAACCGGCCCAGATGACTTCTTCCAGCACATACAATCAACAGGTCAAGAACATTTTCTCAAAGTATGTTTCCCTCTCTATGGAAAGGAGCTGACAGCCCCCTTCTGAGGGCACCACATTTCTTGGATTTCCCCTCAGACTGACCTTCACCCTCCCACCTCATACCTTCCCCTTTAATAAGAAAAAAACCCACAGACTGCATATGTACAAGGAACAGAGTAAGACATGGGTAATTTGTGTGGTCAACTTCAATGATTTGTGAGGAATTTGTGAAATCCTGCACCTCTTATTCTAGCTCACAAACCCTCCTCATCGTTCTGTTTCCTTCCTTGTCCTTTTCGTTTACCCCAAATAATCCATATTAACATATCGACTTGTAATCAACTTCACAATCATGGAAGGAGAGAGGGAGAGTTTTCAGAAAGAAAAAGCATTCAGGTTTTAGTTACTAAGGATGGGAAACATCTTAAAATACAGATAGATTATCTTAGTGGTTTTTCCTTTCTCCAAAGACAACCTGATTAAAGATCAAGCCTCCGCCCTCCTTAACCTAGACCACTCTACCTATATTTGAAGGACTGTTGCCTCCGCCCTCCTTAACCTAGACCACTCTACCTATATTTGAAGGACTGTTGCTCAGCAGGAAGTTCAGAAAACAACTGCCAATACCATCCTAGGCATCACTGTAGGTACAAGGGGGGAAAGGCAGTAAGCTGGACCTAGTGTTTGGAATATTTGCTTAACAAGAATTTGTTCTTCACTCTGCACTTGTTGCAACTGCTATGCAATTCTTAAAATGAAAGTATTTGGGGAAATATTTAAAATATATATCTTTTATCTATTAAAAATATTTCTTTTTACCAAAGACAAAAATCAATTCCAACTGAAAAGTGTTTTTCGAATTACTGGAGATATAGAAAAAGATGGCAAGTGGAAAAATAAAGTGTTTTTGCTCCTACCAACAAGACTTGCCTTCCAATAATATTTACTAAGATCAAAAAGGAAATGCGTGAAATGGCAGTAACTGGTAAGTTTCCTCTAAGAGCATTTATGGTAAGGTCACCCTCCCTGTCTTCTGTAAACCACAGCCAGCTCTTCTGTTTTGGGCACAAACACGCCCTCCAGCAGCCCTTGGAGAACATAAGTTGTTGGTAGGGCCTAAAACTGAAGTGGTGTGACTATAAAATCATGAGATTGACATATGTTTTTAAAACATACATCTGCACATGTGCACGCACACACACACAGAACACAGAATACATACATTCAGGTGAGTGATGTTCCTCACCGAAGGAGTCATCAAAGAGATTCTACCTATCTCAATGATGACCACAATGTTTAAGACATCTCTGGAACTTCTCTTTGGGAACTGTTTGGGAACTATGAGCTGCACAAGAAAATGGCTCTGCTTTACAGCAGCACTCCATTTGTTACTGCAAACCCACTTGATAAGCCACCTTCTTTCCCAGAGGCTTCAAATAGCTGCCGACTAGTCTCAGACTTTAAATTCTCTCTCCTAACCACAAACCACCACAAAACACTGAAGATTTGCCCTAAGAAAAAGAAGGCAAATCTGCGAACACTTAAAAGGAGTTATACTATCTGACTTAATCAATGGGTCACTGTTCTGGGCTTCGGCTTCTAGGTCTAGAAGCTGAGGACCTCCTTAGGAGTAGGCTGGAATAGATAACCATTAAGGTCCCTTCCAGTTCTAGCATTTTGGGAGTCAGTGTTTCTAGTCTTTGAAGACAGTTCCAGAAATGCTTTCACCAATGGCATTGGAAAAACTAAGCAGTATCCTGCTGGGGCTACTCAAAGGAGACAACATATATTGGGATATATAAGCTCTGGAAGGTCTGTTAAAATGCCAGTCACATGACTTTATAGGAACAACTTATACATACATGGGGAATGCCAGCCCATCAGAAATTCCCTAAAATCATACCTTGATCCCTATTCTCAACGAGCCCAGATGGGCAGAAGCACCAAGCACCACCAGGGATGCAAAAGACACATGGTGTCAGCTGCTAAGGAAAATAAACCCCCAAAGGTCCATGGGACTGAATTTACCAGCTGCATCCAGCTAGATACCTTGTTTCCATAGTATGGAGTTTCAGTATTGTTCTTTGCCTGACTTCAGGGCAAATTTTTCGGATTTTAGATCAACATTGCAGATAACCCTTGGCCATGTGAAAAGTAGTAATTAAGCCTGATTAGAGTTTGTCTCATAGGCTGAAACCCCCAGAAAAGCAGAAGGCTGTAAACTGTGGGGGATGGGGATAATGCACAGTATATGTTTATCTACCCTGTCGATCTTGTTTGCATGTGGATTTTGCACTATCAGTGTTCAATGCCCAGTCTAGCTTCCCCTAGGCTCCCCTGGCATACCCTTAGGTCGTAATCTATTTGGGAAACCTTTAGAAAACCCATGGGTTATGCCTCTTAGTAGTTGAGAGAACTGGAACATCTGCGCTGCAGTTTCATTATCTAAAAATGGGGCTAATGCCAATTACATGAGAGGTCTCTTGGAAACACTAAATTAAATAATGTCTGTAAATGTGTTCTGTCAACTATATAGCATTCACCAAATGTTATTTTTTTAAACAGAGAACGTAAATTAACTTTTGTAAAGGCATAAGCTTAACTGATATAGATAGGTATTTATTTTTTGGCAAGGGGCGGCAGAGAGGAACATAACCATTATCATTTTGTATCTGCCAAGGAACTGTTCACTTCTTTGAAAAAGATGTAATTAATTTTTATCTGCAAGGCTGATTTAAAACAATACCCTGCTGAAAGAAGTCAGGAAGTCTATCAGTTTAAGAAGGTATCCCCTCTTTACCATTACTAACTGTGGCCATTATGTTCCTGAATGAGGCTGTTCCAAATCTCATTCCCAGTGGGTGCTGCCAGGTTTGGCCCAGAAGCCCTTAGGGATGGGTCACTTAGGCTTCTGGCCTGGGTCACAGAGAAACGGAAATCTGCTCCCTTGGATATTGACTACAAAGGCCCTGGAACCTCTCAGAACCATGTTAGACAGTGTTTTGCCATTAAAATAAAACCAAAGTGAGAACACTCAGCTCTTCAGGATAAATGATCAAGGCCGAAGACCTTTTAAACTAGGTAACACTGTTCATTAGGTGCTACTTGGCCCCGGCCATGTTGCTGGACCGTAGGAGATACTGATCCACACTTCCTTTTCGCCGGCTCACAGTCCGCCTCTCGTTGTCAAACATGCGCTGCAACTGCAGAGCCAACTGTCGGTCCTCTTCCTCTTGCTGAAGTTTCTGCTCCATCTCTCGCAGGACTGGGTCTGTTGGGGCCAGACCCACCTCACCACTGGTTTGTCGCAGTTTTTTAAGGGAGCCATTTTGTTCCAAGTGCTTGGTCTTACAGTGTCTTTTCCGGCCTCGACGCAAAGGAGGAAGTGGCTCTTCACTTAGGCTCTCGACTAGAACACCATTAGTCAGATCAAAATGATTTAATGTCTTCAATTGTTTCTTTGTTTTGAGGACTCCACCCAAAACACTGTTTTGGGGTAGCACTGAATTAACTGTGGTGATTTTCATGGCTCTGCTTATACAGGTTTTGTCTAACTTGGCATCTGGAGTTGACCCTGAGCCCTCAAACTGCTCCCTCTCCAAAGAAGTCCCACTGCCTCCCACTTTGAGTTCTGAGGAACAGCAGGTTTCCAGTGGGATCTCAGTGTTACTTTTATTATCACTGTCCTGTTCTGCTTTTGTTTGGCTAACAGAGGGGAAATAATCAAGATCAGCAGAGATGGGTCCAGTATACTCAGAGAGGACCTGCCCACTGGACAATCTTGTATTTACAGCCACAAGTGGCTTCTCCTTGCTAGAATGGATACCTTCAGAGCCTAGTAAGTCTTCCCCCATTTCAGGAGCCAGAGAGGTAAGAGTGGCTTTTGACAGGGTCTTTTTGATTTGTCGCTCCTGAAAGATCTGTTCCCACTTTTTGAGGATCCGTGGACTGGCCTCATAAGAAGTCTGCTTCTGCAGGCTTCTGTTTAGGTTGCGTGGAGTTGATTTGATGATGAGGGGACTTAGCACACGGCCATCAGGGAGTCTTTTGGGAGGGGTACATGGTGAGCAGACAATGGGCTTGAAATGGTTTAGTTCTTCGGAGATGCTGTCATTGCTCTCAGGGCTGATAGAACGCTCTGGCTTATGCAGGGAAGCCAAGGATGAAAGGGAGCTGAAGGGTAGACGCTTTTCGATGGTTAAGTCAGGGGCTGAGAGGCAGCGGTTGTTTTGAGTTGACAAGAGGACACCAATGATGGGGTTGGAGGCTGGAGTCATAGTTGTGACCTGAAAGAAATTAAAAAGATTATGCATTCATACACACATACATACACATTTTCCTTCATCATTCCTTTATGATGGTGGAGCGACAGGGAAGGGGAGGACAAGAAAAGGGATGAAGGGTAACGTGAGCCCAAGAAGGGGAGAAAATCCCTAACTTAGAAAGCATACCATTTAGCAGAAAATCCTATATACTTCAAACAATAAGACTGAAAATATGTAGGGGGAAAAAAAACTTATCTAAAGCTTTAAAAAAGGTTTCTTGTCCAGGCATGGTGGCTCATACCTCCCAAAGTGCTGTAATCCCATCATTTTGGGAAGCTGAGGCAGGTGTATCACTTTGAGACCAGCCTGGACAACATAGCAAGATCCCATCTCTACAAAAAATTAAAAAATTACCCAGGTGTAGTGGCATGTGCCTGCAGTCCCAGCTACTTGGGAGGCTGAGGTGAGAAAGGCTACTTAAGCCCAGGAGTCTGAGGCTGCAGTGAGCTATGGTTGCACCACTGCACACCAGCCTAGGTGACAGAGTGCGACTCTGTCTCTTAAAAAAAAAAGAAGGGGGGATTCTCTATTAGCCCTTATTCTACCCATCGGGCTACTAATTCAAACTTTCTTCCTTCACCTCTGTTTGTGGACTTCTCCAGCATAACTAATATGCCTGAGCTCATTCTGCTTCTCTTCTGGAATAGTTTATTTTGTGACTGTGTGCAGAGGGGGTGATGAGGCAGGCCTCGCAAGCCCCGGAGGTCTGTGGCTGAGGTGTACCTTGGCTTTGTTGCCTGGAGCTGCTCTGAGTCTGCTCTTTGCTCTTTCCTGGGCTGTGTCACTACAGCTCTGACTCCTTTCCACCTTGGAGTTTAGCTTCCTAAAAAAAGAATAAATAAAAAACAAGTAGTCAAAATTAGTCTATATACTAGGTAAGGAAAAAGGATGACAGTATCTTTTTGCTTTCTAAGCCACTCACCAAGAAAGAATTCCCTTGGGCAGCTACAATAGGAATGAGTTAATTTATTAACAAAATACATTCTGAGAAGAAACTCTGCACAAAGAGAGTGCTCCGGAGAGGAGCACTATTTGGTTCAAGGTTTTGTTTCCAAACTAGACCCTGCTAAAAGGAGGCAGAACCAGTGGCTCTTTTGAACATGCTTAGAGAGATGTAGAGATACTTCACTATCCTTAATAGTGTGATACAATGTTAAATCACCTTTACAAGCAACAGATTTTTCTTTTTATTAGACCCAAACCTCTCTTCAATCTAAATCAAGCACAAAACAAATATTGAAGTTCTTACAAAAATGCACAGCAGTGCATTAGATCTTTATGTACAGAGTCAAATGTAGTCTCTCCTTTAATCCATTACATTTGAGCTTTCAAAGGCCTAAATCCTAGTGATTTCAGAGGTTTAAAGAACACATGATTTTTGTCTTTATGACAATGAGTTTATAACCCAAACCAAACTCCACAGTACTTGGATTATATACTGAAGTCCACTACACTATAGCATAGTAAGTGCCATAAGACAGCAGTTAGTATGCAACTAAACTTCCCAAGTGTTTTCTTCTAAGAGTTTTATCATTTTGACTCTTAAGTTTAGGTCTTTGGTCCATTTTGAAACTCAAAATGGTGTGAAGTTGGAGCCCAACTTTATCCTTTTGTATGTGGATATCTATTAACAGTTGTCCCAGGATCATATGTAAATCTATGTTAGAATTATATGCAGATGACTATCACCTGCCCCAGAAACAAGTAGGGACACTTAATTTCTCACTTGCCTTTGTTTCCATTCCTCAACTCTTGTCTAAATATATATCTGTTCACCAAGCATGTATCATATACTTACTATATGTATGCCAAACACTGATGGCCACTATCCATGCACTGAGAATACAGAGAAGAATGAGACACAGTCTAGGTCTTCAAGGAATTAGAGTCCAGTGGGCAAATAAATAAATACAATACAGTGAAAGGGCACAACAAAAAAAAAGTATGCATAGGAAGCAGAAATGGTGTAACAGAGAGAGAGTTCTTCATAACCTGGGATGAAGTGAGATCTGGGTTGGAAATGTCTTCCTGTAGCATGTTCATTTCAAAGGATAAACACGAATTTGCCATAAGTCAAGATGGACTCAAACAGAAATTATTTCTTCAAATGATTCGATTTAGCTTTGGAATGGAATGCATCATATCTACTCTTTTGTAGCAAAAAACTTGTTTTCAGAGTTTTACTATGCTCGAAGAAACATATTTATTAGCTCGAAGAAAACTTGAAAAGGAGGTAAGGTATCTTCCCAAGGTGCCTATCTTCTCCCTACATCTCTAGTAGGTAGAGTGGGTAGCATGTCCTACCCACTCATAAGGGCTTCTATTCCAGTGTTTCTGTGTTATTCCTCCCATTCAAAACCCTCCCATCCTATGTCTTATGGCCACATAGTGTTAACAGGAGAAAGCGGTGGCCAGCCTGTATCACATGCTTGCACTGTACCAAGAAATTCAACATTTAACCCAAATGAAAGATGTGAAAGTTGTACTATCTAGTGGGAAATACATTTTGGAGCAGGTAGAAAATTTCAACATCCCCCTACAAAAGCAGCTGTGTAAAAGTCACTTTGATTGGTAGTTTACTTTAAAAAATATTGATATTCATTTGCATTCCTAGAAGTCACAGAAACTGTCAGTGGTGTAAGCCACCCAGAAGCATACTGTATGGCAGATTAAAATGCTGTGGTAAATAATATATACCTTAGGTTGGAAGAAAGGGATACAAAATTGAGAGATTTTAAAATTTGAAGCATTGTTACTTCAAATATATCAATTGCTTGGTGTGATTCCATTGGTGAAACAAGCAGACACCAAGAGGAAAAGATTTTCTGATCAACCTGAAAGAGACCTTTGTAACTTTCAATAGAGCAGTTCACTGATAGTTGCCTGGGAAGACAGTGAGCTCCATGCCATTAGAGGTATTCAAACTGAGGCTGGATCTAGACCTTAAGTTCCAAATATTATATAATTAAGACATAGCTTAATATAATTTTTAAAAACAGGCTATAAATCCATTTTGTGAGGTGTAAAACAGTCAAATTGAAAGTCACTGTTTTCAATCCTGCGTTATCAGATACACACATGACAACTACCTGCAGTTGGGGAGAACATCTTCACATGCCCCATAAACTCCATTTTGGCAAAAGAAAAGGCCCAGGGAGGAAACACACTTGCAGTGACCAAGCACACAATGAAGCAAAAAAAAATTCTGACAATCTAAAATCTTTTTGATAAACTTTAATATAGCTGAAATTGTCATTATCTCTCCCATTCATATTTGATCAACAGACTTTTTACTGAGCACCAACTCTGTGCAAAGCATTAGAGACAGATTGATCAAAAGACAACCTTCACTGAAAGGAGCATCTAGACACTGAAGTCTACCACTATAGCATAAGTGCTATAAGAGAGCAGTTATTATACAACTGAACTCCTCAAGTGTTTTCTTCTAAGAGTTTTATAGTTTAAGCACTTACATTGAGGTATCTGATCCATCTGGAGTTCATTTTTGTATGTGGTATGAGGTTGGGGTCCAACTTCATTCTTTTGCATGTAGATATCCAGTTATACCATCACCATATGTAAAGTGGCTATTCTTTCCCCACTGAATGGTCTTGGCACCCTTGTTGGAAATCAGTTGACCACAGATGTATGGGTTTATTTCTGGACTTTCAACTCTATTCCATTGATTTACATGTCTACCCTTATTCCAGTACCACACTATTTTGATTGCTATACTTTGCAGTAAGTTTTGAAATCAGGAGTTGTGAGTCTTCCACGTTTGTTCTTTTCTTTTCCTTCAAGATTGTTTTAACTATTTGGGATCCTCTGAAAATTCATATATGTATTTTGGTACGTTTGTCCATTTCTGCAAAAAAGATCATTGGAATTTTAATAGGTGTTACACTAAATCTGTAAAATGACTTCAAGAGTATTGCCATCTTAACAATGTTATGTCTTCTAATCCATGAGCACAGGAGGTCGGTCTTTTGTTTTACTTAGATCTTTAATTTCTTTCAACAACATTTTGTAGTTTTCAGCATACAAGTCTTGCACTACTGCGGTTAAATTTATTCATAAGTATTCTATTTTTTGATGCTATCGTAAACTGAATTGTTTTCATAGTTACCTTTTTGGGTTGTTCATTGCTAGTGTATAGAAATGCAACTGATTTTTGTGTGGTGAGCTTATATCTTGCAGCTTTGCTAAAATCTGGCTATCAGCTTTAACAATTATTTCATGGATTCTTTAGGATTTTTTGTGAATAACATGTCATATGTAAAGAGAGATAGTCTTACTTCTTCCTTTGCCATCTGGATGCCTTTTATTTTTCTTGCCCAATTTTTCTGGCTAAAATTTCCAGTACAAGTTGAACAAAAGTGGCAACAGTAGACATCATTTATCTTGTTCCTGCTACTGGGAGGAAAGTTTTCTCTTTCACCACTAAGTATGCTGTTGCTGTGGGTTTTTCATAGATTCCTTTTATAAGATTGATGAAGTTCTCTTACTTTCCTACATGTTCAGCATTTTTCTCATGAAAGGGTATAAGATTTTGTCACTTTTTTGTGTGTGTCTACTGAGCTTTTTTCCCCTTCATTCTACTAAAATGGTACATTACATTGATCTTCATACGCTGAAACACCATTGCATTCTTGGAATAAATCCCGCTTGGTCATGGTATATAATTCTTTTTAAAAAATGCTGCTGGATTTTGTTGGCTGGTATTTTCGCTGAAGAATTTTTATCTATATTCCTAAGAGATCTTGGCCTATAGTTTTCTTATGAAATATCTGTCCGGCTTTGGTATCAGGGTAATGCTTACCTCACAGAATATTTATTCTTCTAATTTTTGGGAGAGTGTCAGGATTCATGTTAATTCTTATTTGTTTGGTAGAATCACCAGTGAAGCCATCTGGCCCTCAGGTTTCATTGTTGGATTATTATTATTATTATTATTATTCTGGGTTCAACCTCTTTATATAGGTCAATCCAGATTTTCAACTTCCCCAGGTACTTCACATGTTTCTAGGAACTGGTACATTTCATTACATTCACTCTAGGAACTGGTACATTTCATCTAAATTATCTAATCTGTTGGCATAAAATTGTTCATAGTCTATAATCCTTCTTAATTCTATAATGTCAGTAATGTCATCATTTTTCTTCCTAATTTTGGTAATTTGAGTCTTCTCTTTTTTCTTGACCAGTTGTTAAAAATTTGTCAATTTTGTTGATCTTACCAAAGGACCCAACTTTTGGTTTCATTCATTCTACTGTTTTCCTATTCTCCGTTAATCTTCAATGTAATCTTTATTATTTCTTTCATTTTGTTTTCTGTGTTTAGTCTACTCTGTGTGTTTAGTCTTAGATCTTTTATAATGTACGCTTTTACAGCTATAAATTTCCCTCTGAGCACTGCTTTCTTTACATTCAGTAAGTTTTGAGGTACGGGTTTTCTTTTATTTTTACCTTTTTCTAACTTTTAAGTTCAGGGGTACATGTGCAGGATGTGCAGGTTTGTGTCATAGTGGTTTGCTGCACAGATCATCCCATCACCAAGGTATTAAGCCCAGCATCCATTAGCTATTTTTCCTGATGGTCTCCGTCCTCCCACCCCCATCCTCCTACAGGCCTCAGTGTGTGTTGTTTCCCCACGTGTCCATGAGTTCTCATCATTCGGCTCCCACTTTATAAATGAAAACATGTAGTGTTTGGTTTTCTGTTCCTGCATTAGTTTGCTGAGAATGATGGCTTCCAGCTCCATCCATGCCCCTGCAAAGGACATAATCTTGTTCCTTTTAATGGCTGCATAGTATTCCATGGGGG